AAGCAGTGTAATTTCTCCAGTGCTGTAGGGTGCAGACACCCCGTGATAATCCTAATATTCGGGTGGATTTATTTATTTACTTCTTTATTTACCTAATTTATATCCCTTCTTTCTCTACCGCGAGGGGTACTCAAGATACAATATCCAACTAAAAACATGGTTTAAAAATAAAAACATAATAAACATAATTAAAATACATTTCAAGGAATCACGTCCAGAGTCAGAGTCCAAGGCCATTCTTTAGTCATATTACACACTTTCCATATTAACATTTCTGCACTGCTCTGTTTTTCAAAAGTTTGCTCCCAGAGCCAGGTTTTGACTCTCCTTCTGAACACTAGGAGGGCTGCCCTGATATTGCTAGGGAGGGAATTCCACAACCAAGGGGTCACCATTGAGAAGGCCCTGTCTCTCGTCCCCACCAGCCTCGCTTGTGAAAAAGGTGGGACCGAGAGCAGGACCTCCCCAGATGATCTGAATCTCCTTTCCTGTAGTTTGAAGCCATTGTTCCGCATCCTAGTCTCCAGAAAACAAGCTTTCTCCCTCCCTATTTCTTCTCCTCACTTATATGACCATCATGTCTATTCTCAGCCTTCTCTTCTGCAGGCTAGACATGCCCAGTATCCTTATCTTACATGGTGATAAGGAGCAGAGTTGTTACTTTCCTTCTCACATTATGCCTCAACAAACTCCCCTCAGATCTGATTGCAGAGCTGTGGTTTTACTCATCTTTCCCTGGTTCCCATCCCAACCTCTGCATATGGTAAAGATTTTGAGACGGACTGCAATCGGTTCTTTCACTGGAATCCACTTGCTGAACTTCTTTTCTTCCATCTAGTAGATTCCACCTTGAGCACAGAGGAGAAGCTGCGCCAGCTTCAAGAGGAACGCATGTGCAAGGTGTGCATGGACAAAGATGTGTCCATTGTGCTGGTGCCCTGTGGGCATTTAGTGGTCTGCTCTGAATGCGCTCCTAATCTGAGACGCTGCCCCATTTGCAGAGGTGCCATCCGGGACAGCATGAAGGCATTCCTTTCCTGATCTAGAAGGTGGGTATGGAGGAGACTCTAAGACATTTATATGAACTCTGTGTATGTGTGTGGATGTTTATGTGTATATGTGTATGAGAGAGAAAGATAAAATGGAGATTTAAATGGAAAAATCAGCAGGACTTTGCAAATTGTGTGCTGCTTCTGAATTTGATCAAGAGTTTGTCCTGGTACAGTATTACTCTTATGTCAAGACTGCCATTGCAACTCATAGTACAAGGGTGAGAATCAATGTGAGAGTCCATATACTGTTGGATTATAGGTCCCAGCAGTCTGAGGCAGCACAATTGAGAAGAATGGTGGGAGCTGCAGTACATAGCATTTGGAGGGTTTCCTGATTCATGCCCTGATGTAGTGGATTTTTTTAAATCACATCAGAAGCGACTTGATAAACTGCAAATTGCTTCTGGTGTGAGAGAATTGGACATCTGCATAGACGTTACCCAGGGGATGCCCGGATGTGTTAACATCCTAATGTTTTTAAGTAGAAGACTCAAATGGTTTATGTTTTTATTACTTTTGTTATGGTTTTATACTATGTATTGATGTTTTAAATGTTGTATGATGTTTTTGGGCATTGAATCGTTGCCTCTGTAAATGGCCCTGAGTCTCCTGAGGGCTGAGAAGGGCAGTATTTATTTATTTATTTATTTATTTATTTATTTATTTATTTTATTTACTACATGTTTATACCACTCTTCTCAGCCCTCAGGGTGACTCAGAGTGGTTCACAACAGCAAATACAATACTTAAAACATGATAAAAACAGTTGAGAACAATTTAAAAGAATAACAATTATAACAATCAATAACCATCAAACATCTCATATCGTCTCATAGTTAAAATCAAGATCCAGTCTCATCATCCAATTGTTCCATATTTCTATATTAGTTACACTGCCTATTCAAATGCCTGCTTGAATAACCAGGTCTTCAATTTCCTCCGAAATGCTAACAGGGAGGGGGCCGATCTAATTTCTGTAGGAAGGGCGTTCCACAGCCGAGGGGTCACCACTGAGAAGGCCCTGTCTCTCATCCCCGCCAACTGTACTTGTTATGCAGGCGGGACCAAGAGCACGGCCTCCCCAGACAATCTTAACGTCCTAGCAGTATACAAATATAGTATATAAATAAATAAATAATACCTTGTGGGAGGCTTCTTTCATGTCCCCAGATGGGAAGTTGAAGCTAACAGAGGGGAGTTCACCCTGTCTCGCGGATTCCAACAGCTGACCTTCAAGTCAGCAGTTCAACCAGCACAAGGTTTAACCCATTATGCTACCATGGCTCCTGATGTAGTGGATGATCTCCTACAAGTTTTTGATTGAAGGAGAATTGAAATATCATTAAGTCTATAGTTTTCTTCAAATATTAAAATGCAAGAAATGGTTATATGTCAATGTGCAGTTTCAGAAATCTGCTGCCTATTCTCTGAGTTGGGCCAAAATTATTAGGAGAGTGGAGTTACTACACTCAAAGGAAAACTTTGAATTTTCTTGATCTTAAAAAGGTGGATTTGGGATGTAAGACAGGGGCTTGTAGGGAAAAGAAGGCCAGGAAAAACTACTCTTGGTGCAATGAGGATTTTTTTTCCCTCTTCTTGCTAGTTTTCCTTCCTTTTGAGACTTCTGATCATGGAGATCTTCCCTGAGAAAATATAAAACTGAAGAAACTTCTGAACGGATGGGAACGATCTGAAATTATCCAGCAAAGTAGCTGTATCCATGTCCTGGTAAATTCTTAGAGCATCCATTCCAGCAATGTAAGAAGATCAAGGGCAAAGAAGTTCTTTCTAGTCTGTGGAATGGACGCTTTTCGGGGAGACTTTTCATCTTCAAGATAAACGTCAAAAACCTCCTGCACTTTTCCTTCCCCGTGTGAGGTCTTGGAGCAGATATTTTTATCTAAAGATTATTTAGTAGCTTTGTGTTTGTATACTTTCTTAAAAACTTTGTTTGACTTGGCACACCTTTCCAGTCAATCGATCTTTGTTTTTGGAATATAAATATTTATTTTACCCTTTTGGCATAAACTTTATATAAATAAATTAATTAAATAAATAAATACTTTAAATTTGCTCTTGTGATGTTCTTACCTAACTTCTGCATCAAACAACAGGTTTGGTCTTTTTGTTTGTGACTATTTTCTTACAGAGAAACTTTAGTTTAAAATGCAATTCGCAAAATTCAAAACGATCTTCACAAATTAGAGAGATGATTGGCCAAAACTAACAAAATGAAGTTCAACAGGGACAAATGCAAGAGTATCTTAGGCAGAAAAAATGAAATGCAAAGATACAGAATGGGGGATGCCTGGCTTGAGAGGAGTCCTCGTGGACAAAAAGTTAAACATGAGCCAACAATGTGATGCAGCAGCAAAAAAGCCAATGGGATTTTGGCCTGCATCAATAGGAGTATAGTGTCTAGATCCAGGGAAGTCATGCTACCCCTCTATTCTGCCTTGGTCAGACCACACCTGGAATACTGTGTCCAATTCTGGGCACCACAATTGAAGGGAGATGTTGACAAGCTGGAATGTGTCCAGAGGAGGATGACTAAAATGATCAAGGGTCTGGAGAACAAGCCCTATGAGGAGTGGCTTAAAGAGCTGGGCATGTTTAGCCTGAAGAAGAGAAGGCTGAGAGGAGACATGATAGCCATGTATAAATATGAGAGGAAGTCATAGGGACGAGGGAGCGAACTTATTTCTGTTGTGTAGTTTTCTGAGGCATTGTGATTTGAACAGCTAAACTTTGATCAGCAAGTAGGTTCTTGTGGGTTTTGTCGGGCTATAGGGCCATGTTCTAGAGGCATTTCTCCTGACGTTTCGCCTGCATCTATGGCAAGCATCCTCAGAGGTAGTGAGGTCTGTTGGAATTAGGACAATGGGTTTATATATCTGTGGAATGGCTGGGGTGGGGCAAAGAGCTCTTCTCTGCTGGAGCTAGGTGTGAATGTTTCAACTGACCACCTTCATTAGCATTTGAAGGCCTGGCTGAGCCTGGGAAAATCTTTTGTTGAGAGGTATTAAGATGTGCCTGGTTGTTTCCTCTCTGCTGTTTTGCTGTTGTAATTTTAGAGTTTTTTAATACTGGTAGCCAGATTTTGTTCATTTTCATGGTCTCTTCCTTTCTGTTGAAATTGTCCACATGCTTGTGGATTTCAATGGCTTCTCTGTGTAGTCTGACATGGTGGTTGTTGGAGTGGTCCAGCATTTCTGTGTTCTCAAATAATATGCTGTGTCCAGGCTGGTTCATCAGGTGCTCTGCTATGGCTGACTTCTCTGGTTGAAGTAGTCTGCAGTGCCTTTCCTGTTCCTTGATGCGTGTCTGGGCGCTGCGTTTGGTGGTCCCTATGTAGACTTGTCCACAGCTGCATGGTATACGGTAGACTCCTGCAGAGGTGAGAGGATCCCTCTTGTCCTTTGCTGAACGTAGCATTTGTTGGATTTTCTTGGTGGGTTTGTAGATAGTTTGTATGTTGTGTTTCCTCATCAGCTTCCCTATGCAGTCAGTGTTGGATTTTCTTGGTGTTTCCTCATCAGCTTCCCTATGCGATCAGTGTTTGGGGGCTGCGTTTGGTGGTCCCTAACAATCTACAAACCCACCAAGAAAATCCAGTGTGCCTTTCCAGAATAAGGAAAACTCTTGGCAATATGTCCCCAAATGCACTTTAACATTGATTTAGGATTGCCTGCGCACCCTCATCTTTCCTTGAAAACCCTATCCTAGTTATACCCTACCTTGTTCGTGCCCAGCATTATTTTTAAATTTTAATTATTACATTTGGCCCGGCCATAGGTTTTAAATGCTTGTATGTTATTGTTATTGTTTATTGTTTATTTTTGTTGAGATTTATTTTACTGTTTTGATTTATTATTTTATTATTGCCTTCATTTTATTGATGTACTGTGGGCTTGGCTTCATGTAAGCTGCACTGAGTCCCTTGGGGAGATGGTAGCAGGGTACAAATAAAGATTATTATTATTATTATTATTATTATTATTATTATTATTATTATTATTATTATTATTATTATTATCCATGATAGGTTCACCTTAGGGTCACTAAAAGTCCAATATCACTTGAAAGCACACAGAAAATAATGACATAGATGCTTACCACTAGATTCAGCTTTTACCAGTTGAGGGCAGTATTGACCTAATAAATAGAGGTGCTTATTTATAGCTTAGTGGGGGAAATGCCATTTCTTTGTGGCCAAGAGTTATGATAGGTGTATGTGTGCAAAAGTAGCATTATACTTTTCCAATAGAAAGTTGTGTTTGTAGAATGTCTCTGTAAACCCTCTTTATTTTATAAAGCTGCAGGTTTTGCTCCTATTTTGAAAAGTCTGTATTCTGTCATGGTACATCAGTGCTGTAAACTCTCTGCAGTGCTCTGTGTGGAAGGGAAGATAGTGTTTCCTTACAGCCTGAGGAGGTACAAGAGCTCGTTTTCCATCCGTGGCTCCATGAAAGGCTGTCCCTGGACAAAAAAATGTACACCTTGCAAAGGATGATATGCCAGTTTTGTAACCATCCCTTATGGAGGTGGAGCGGAATAAACTGATATATAGAGACTAAAACTCAAATAATGTATGCTTGATTACAAACACTCTTATGTATTGTCGAAGGCTTTCATGGCCAGAATCACTGGGTTGTTGTAAGGTTTTTCAGGCTATATGCCATGCCTGAGTTTTGCCTGCATCTATGCAAGCATCCTCATAACCTCTGAGGATGCTTGCCATAGATGCAGGCAAAACGTCAGGAGAGAATGCTCTAGAACATGGCCATATAGCCCAAAAAACCTACAAGAACCCAGTGATTCCAGTACAAACTCCTTAGTGGTACTAATGCAATGATAATGAACTTATTTATTTATTTATCGTGTCAGGAGCAACCAGACATTTGTATTACATTTTTAACCAAACAAACAAACAAACTAACAAGCAAACAGATAGACAGACAAAACACAAAGTTTGCAAGCTTGGTAGTTGATTAAATGTCCTTTGACTAGTATCTGGCCACTTGGAGTGCCTCTGGTGTTGCCGCATTGTGCATGTAGCAGGGCTCAAGTTGCATTGCAGCAGGTGGTCAGTGGTTTGCTCTTCTCCACACTCGGGGTGGGGGGTGAACAGAGGGGATAATTGCACCCATACCTTGGAAAGTCAGACTTGGCCATGGTGGTCCACGCTCTTGTTATATCTCGATTAGACTACTGCAATGCACTCTACATGGGGTAGCCTTTGAAGACTGTTCGTAAGCTTTGGGTGGTCCAACAGGCAGCAGCCAGATTGGTCACTGGAGTGGTGTACAGGAAGCATACAACCCCCCTGTCACATCTGCTCCACTGGCTGCCAGTCTTCTACTGAACACAACTCAAAGTGCTGACTTTAGCCTATAAAGTCCCAAACAGTACCAGCCCAGCTTGCCTGTCTGAACATATCTCCCTCTATGATTGACCTCAGAGGCTAAGATCATTGGGGGAGGCCCTGGTCTTGGCCCCACATCCTTCGCAGGTTGGTGGAGATGAGAGAATCAGGGCCTTCTCAGTGGTGGCCCTTGTCTATGAAATTCCCTCCTCAGTGAAATTAGATCAGCCCGTCACTCCTGAGCTTCAGGAAAAAAGCTAAAAACATGTCTTTGGGACCAAGGCTTTGGTCAGTAAAATTGGATCAGTGCAATAAGAGATTACAAAATAACACAATGGTGAATGGAATGGTCCTGGAATATGACTTGGATTGTGCGATTTTAATTGATGTTTTTAATTATTTGGGGTTTTAAGGCATTTGTTTATGTATTGTTATGTATATGTATGGCATTAAATTGTCACCTTTGTAAGGTTGCTCTGAGCCCCCTTCAGGGTGAAAAGGGTGGGGTACAAGTGTGGTTAATTAATTAATTAATTAATATCTGCCTATACCTTTGTTTCTTATAAAGTTATTTATTTTTAAAAAATACTCTTGAAGTTAGATCTAACTACAAAAACATTTTTGTACACCCAGCTTACATGTACTGTAACAAGGCTAAAACTGTGTGCTGATTTGCTTTTTGAACCTTCTAACGCACATACACTTTGGCCAGAGCTGTCATTATTACCAGTACCTAGTTACAAGGATGCTTTGAATCATGTTGTTTCAACTGCATATGTGCTGGTTTTCTTGCTGCTGATTTTGTCAATAGTTCTTGTATTTTAGCTACAATATTGTGGTATGGTTTACCATGGGAGGAGATCTGTGTGAGTGACATCATGAATTTCTGCACCAAGCTTAGTGACACCACTGGTTGCGCCTAGCCAGAAAGCCGGCATGAATCAAATATTCAACTGTGTTAATAGAAACTTATGAGAAATCTTATAACTATGGAATGTAGCAAAGGCTGGTGTGCTATATGTGTTGGCCTCTTGGACAGCTTAAGCATGGAAAGTTCTCTTGTATTATGTCGCTGTATCACTCCATCATTATCAGGGTTACAGCAGGATTTCACACTGAGGAGTAGTAGGCTTTTTGTGCTTGAGGAATAGCCAGGCTACTGCAATGCATAATATATGGGGCCCTCCTTGGAGATTACTCAATATGTTTTGTTGTTTATTCGTCCAGTCACTTCCAACTCTTCATGACCTCATGGACCAGCCCACACCAGAGCTCCCTGTAGGCCATCACCACCCCCAGCTCCTTCAAGGTCAAGCTAGTCACATCAAGGATACCATCCATCCATCTTGCCCTTGGTCAGCCCCTCTTTCTTTTCCCTTCCATTTTCCCCAGCATCTTCTCTAAACTTCTCTAAGCTTTCCTGTCTTCTCATGATGTGGCCAAAGTATTTCATCTTTGCTTCTAATATCCTTCCCTCCAATGAGCAGTCGGGCTTTATTTCCTGAAGTATGGACTGGTTGGATCTTCTCATGGTCCAAGGTACTCTGCAACCCAGCTTTTGAACTTTCTTCTTTCACCTTGATTAGACCACCTGCTGCAATGCAACCTGAGCCCTGCCACATGCACAATGGAGGACCTCCTTGCGGCAACACCAGAAGCACTCCAAGTGGCCAGCTACTGGTCAAAGGACATTTAATCAACTACCAAGCTTGCAAATTCTGTGTTTTGTCTGTTTGTTTGTTTTTGTTAAAAATGTAATGCAAATATCTGGTTGCTGATGACACAATAAATAAATAAATAAATACCTTGATTAGAAGGTTCCTCAGTTCCCCCTCGCTTTCAGCCATCAAAGTGGTATCATCCGCATATCTAAGGTTGTTAATGTTTCTTCCAGCCATTTTAACCCCAGCCTTACTCAATATATTCAGTTCAAACTGCTGCACAAGAGTAAAATTTAAGTTTTGCTTTTCTTCTACTTGTGTTGCTCATTGTTGAATATACAAAGGACTCATCTTATGCTGGTCTGCACACATTGTCAAACCGCAACAGACTTAGTTTGTTCCCAAATCCTTTCTTTTGTCTTTTTAGCAGTGCATGGTTTCCTGAGAACTCTCATCCAACACCATATTTCAGATCAATTGATTTTCTTCTGCTCAGCTTTCTTTTCTGTCCAGCTTTCACAACTATAGTAGGGCAGTGGTTAAATGAGGCACCGTTTCATTAGTGCCTTGTGATTCCCACATCAGTGGAAAATCCATTCTCAATTTTAGATTGAATATTAAAGGAGGAATCCAAGATGCTATACCAGGTATGGGCAAACTTTGGCTCTTCAGGTGTTTTGGATTTCACCTCCCACAATTTCTAACAGCCGGTGGGAGTTGAAGTCCAAAACACCTGGAGGGGCAAAGTTTGCCCATGCCTGTGCTATATAATATGCCCATGCRTGTGCTATATAATCCAGGTGTTTTGGAGTTGAAGTCCAAAACACCTAGAGGGCCAAAGTTTGCCCATGCCTGTGCTATATAATTATGGGAATTGAAGTCCAAAACACCTGGAGGGCCAAAGTTTGCCCATGCCCGTGCTTTATAATTGTGGGAGTTGAAGTCCAAAACACCTGGAGGGCCAAAGTTTGCCCATACCCGTGCTTTATAATTGTGGGAGTTGAAGTCCAAAACACCTAGAGGGCCAAAGTTTGCCCATGCCTGTGCTATATAATTATGGGAGTTGAAGTCCAAAACACCTGGAGGGCCAAAGTTTGCCCATGCCTGTGCTATATAATTGTGGGAGTTGAAGTCCAAAACACCTGGAGGGCCAAAGTTTGCCCATGCCTGTGCTTTATAATTATGGGAGTTGAAGTCCAAAATACCTGGAGGGCCAAAGTTTGCCCATGCCTGTGCTTTATAATTGTGGGAATTGAAGTCCAAAACACCTGGAGGGCCAAAGTTTGCCCATGCCCGTGCTTTATAATTGTGGGAGTTGAAGTCCAAAACACCTGGAGGGCCAAAGTTTGCCCATGCCTGTGCTACTTCCCAGAAGAGCCTAAGCACCTTGGATAGCTCATTTCATATTTTGACTTAAAACACAGTGGATTTGTTACCCTTATTAATATTCGAACCACTAGCTGTCTCTGGATGAATGTGACTTAAAAAAAAATACCGCTTAATTCTGCCATTGTTTTATTTTGAAGGATAAGTTAAACCAGGACTCGAGTCCTAGAGAGTGCTTCTACTTTCATATCAATTCCCTGCTCAAAAATAATCCCTCTTTCCCTTCCTATGTGTTATGAAAGCTGAATCTGAGCTGCAAAGTGGTGTGGATGCCGTCTCTAGTTGAAATTCATGCCGGATTGTGGTCCTGCAATTGATTTTCCTTCAAAATAAAAGTAGTGGGATTAAATACCCCCTTGGGAGAAAAATGATTAATGCAGCAAGTTTCCAACTTCTTGGAACACTTTTTTATTTTTTGGTCACTGAAACATTGCCTGGTGAATAACTTCTAATGCTTCTCTTTATGTTGACTTTGTGTTTGTTTACAGTTCTATTTGTTCATAAGGTTTTTGTTCTTCCTGATTTGCTGTTCTGAGCTGCATTTTTGTGTTTTGGATTTTTGTTCCAATTTAAAAAGATGGAATATATGTTCTATTGTAAAGGAGATGATTGTGCTTTGGTCTAAATCCACTCCAATGTACACAACCAATCCCCCATTTTCTAGCTTTTATGTACATGCTTGGAAATTCTAACTTTGAAGGAAATTAGAGGAAAGATCAAAAAGTAACACTAAGGCAGTGCCATACTGATGAAAAAGTCTGCTTTGACATTAGCAATTTCGAATTTAAGTAGGTGTTAAACATTCTGAGCATGTTTAAAAACATTGTGCCCCATTCTGCTGGTAGAGTATGCAAACAAGATTATCCTAACCCATTTGGCTGGTAAAGGATAACACAAACAGGTTTGCATCCTTTTAGTGGCATGTGCTAACATAGCATTGTCTTATATCTTTTGGGGTTTTGCTGAAATAGCTGCTTTCAATGGCCATTCTATGGAGAATGCACATAATCAGAAGTGCCTGGCTCTGTCCTTGTAGGTAAAAACACAGAGTGATGACATCTTCTGCTGAGAAAGCCAGAACATCCTGGCAGAAGATGTGTTTGGGATTTCCATTCTCTCCCCCCCCCCCCACCTGGATTTTGGAATACCTGTAGTTGTGTATACATAGGTAACTGTAAAGGTTTCCCCTTGACATTACGTCTGGTCGAGTCCAACTCTCATCTCCATTTCTAAGCCAAAGAACCAGCATTCTTCGTAGATGCCTCCTAGGTCATGTGGCCAGCATAACTGCATGGAGCACCATTACCTTCCTGCCGAAGTGGTTCCTATTGATCTATTCACATTTGCATGTTTTTTAACTGCTAGATTTAGATTGGCAAAAGCTGGGGCTAACAGCAGGAGCTCATCCTGTCCCACTGATTTGAACCGCTAAGCTTCTGATCAGCAAGTTCTGCAACTTAGTGGTTTAACCCACTGCTCCACCATGGTTTCTTTTGAAAATGAGATCTCATAGATGGGACCCAAATCTAAACATTAAATCCATATATGTTTCATAGGCACCTGAAGGCGATCTATTACACAATATTTGTACTCATCTTGTGCAAGAAACAAAGTTGTGTACACTGAGCCACCGGAAAGCAGAGGCATCACTACTTCAGCCACTCAGGCAGACAATTTTGGATTTTGGACTAATTTGGAGTTACAGATATGGGATGCTTAACCTGTAGTTTCACTCTACTTACTGGTGAGGTGATAAGAACGTCATTGTGCTGGTACAGCTGTACCAGGAGCTCCAATTCTGTTTGCTTTGCATTAAATGTTTGTTTGCAATCCCAGGCTTGGGATTTTGCAGCAAGGTGGCTTCCTGATATAGTTTGCTATCATAGGGCAAGCCACCTGTCAATTATCATTAGGTTCCCTGGTCCCGCCCCTTTTTGAGTTTTGGAGGGAATAGGAGCCTTTTTGAGTCAGTCCACACAGAGAAGCCTTTCGCACAGGACATAAAACGAAGAGCTCCTGTAGAAAGCTTCGTCTTCTACGGCTTGGCTGGGGAGATATACAGCCTACAGCTTGGCCGGGGAGAAAAGGCCTCACAGCTTGGCTGAGGATTTTACAGCCTTACAGTTTCTTTTGCTGAGGGACTTCAGCCAGCCATCACAGCAACCTGAACTCCTTCTTTCCCCCTGGAAGTCTACAAAGCTCTGCTTGGTAAGGGTTGCTCGCGGAAGCCAGACGCAGTTGGTACCGGGTGCAGGGGCTCCACGCCAACAGAGGCAAGTACAGACTGCCCAGATTAGAAGTTAGGGATTTCCCCATTAGTTAGTATACAGTTATGAAGATAGTGCCTGTTCCCAGTGAACAAGATTGCAAGAGACAATAGACTGTTAAGAAAACTTTAAAGTACCTGTTTTGTGTTCATCAATAAAGAACTTTGTTGGGCTTACTTTAAGCCTCTACAGAACTTTGTTTTGGGGAGGCCCAAGGGCCTTTAATTTGAGGCAGCCCCGGCGTCCCGTTGGGCACACAGAATTTATGTCCTGTCTACAGTCATATGCACAGGCCTAGCGTGCGACAGCACAGTCATAGTCTTTTGTTGCTCAGTTCCTGAGACTGTATGTTTTTATAAGTACACTATATACGATTGGCTCAATTTATTATTCCAAGTCAAAGTCCATGTGGCACTGCATCATTAAATAAACACTAGATTCAATGTACTATCAGACTTATATAAAGAATTATTTTTCCCCATCAAAACCATGGATATTTCTATGATAGCCAGGTAGCATTTGGAATGAACCAGTTGTTGTCAGCCCAGAATGGGAAGTTCTGATTAATCCAGTGACTCCAGGAATCAATTATCCTAAGGCTATGGCATTATCCTATGCAGTTTCATAGGCAAATAAAAATTAGCTCTGCCTTACTGCTTATGGTAGGGATGGTAGACTAGGAGTCTCCAGGGAAGCAGAAAACAAGCTTGCTCTCTCCTCCCTGTGGCTTCTTTTCACATATTTATACATGGCTATCATATCTCCTATCAGCCTTCTCTTCTTCAGGCTAAACATGCCCAACTCCTTAAGCCACTCCTCATAGGGCTTGTTCTCCAGACCCTTGATCATTTTAGTCGCCCTCCTCTGGACACATTCCAGTGCAATAATAATAAAAAAAGGATATACATAGTGGCAGCAGAGGACGAGAAGACAACTGCAAGGAGAGCTACAGCCAATGGGACAAATAACAATGGGACAAATAACAATTGGGAAATAAGCTGAGCAGACTGTCTAGTATATATAGGGAAGGAGAAGCAAATGTGGCAAAAGTGTGCTACAGCTTATGGTTTATTCCATTTTTAGACTCTCTTTTCTGGAGAAGACTCAAGGTGTGTTACAAAAGTTTACATACATGAATGTTAAAAACAAAACTGATACAAACAATGTAACTGTCATATAAAACCACACACATATCCCCATGACAAATAATTGGGGTCAATGGTATAATGCCAGCACTGAAAAGCTGGTCCATCACATCCTGCCAAAATACAAACATGTGATCTTGAAGAGATGGTGACAGGTGTGCACCGTCTGGGGAGAACATTCAGGCAAAGTGGAGATGCAACTAACTTTATCCTTGTTATGTGTCTTCAAATAGTTTTTGCCTTATGGTGACTCTTATCACGGGGCTTTCTTGGAAAGGTTTTTTTTCCAGAGGGGGTTGCCAGTGCTCACTTGTGAAGCTGAGAAAGTGTAATTTGTCCTTGGTTTTGCAGCGACTGAAATCCTAAACACTCAGACCTGTATACCATGTTGATTCTTTTTCTTTGTGGTCATCTTCCAAGCCTGTCTAGGAAAAAGCACTTGGAGAAAGGCATCAGGTACTGGCCTGTTATGTATCAGCCCAACAGATGTAATTCATGGGTGTCTTAAGCAAATATGAAGGACCTTGCTGGATCAGACCAAAGATATATCTACTAGATTAGCTTTCTGTTCCCAGCAATGGTCAGCTGCTGAGAAGTGTGAAGGCAAAGAGTTCTCTCTCTGATGTTGTCCAGCAACTGGAACTGGGCAGCAAAACACAAAATATCCACCGTGGCCACCAGTTTTTGCTACACCAAAACTCCATAACTTTGTCTCACCTTTTATTAGAATCTAAGACCAGTGTTTACCAATGGTGTACTGGTAAATTTCTACATATTAGTCCAGTCACAACAGTCCTCCATAATTACACTCCCAAGAGGGGTTTGAAAAACATTGGCAGCAACATTTGTATATATCAACATACCACTTTGAGCTATTTTCATGTCTGTTTTGTTAACCTTCAGGATCATACCTGCCTTATCAAGATCAACCTCCCATCCGCCCCACCCAATACTTTGCAATGAGAGTAGAAGGGCCACAGTATGCTGACTGGAATCCTCTTGGTGTCCTCCATATGTGTCAGTTCCTCTTGTGGAAGAGTTTGGATTTTTTTTCTTTCTTTCTTAAGTCCATTTGGTTCATTTTGTTTGCAGAAACAGAACTGTGAATATGGTGTCGGTGTGCATGCGAATGTGTGTTTGGGTCTTCCACATTGCTATTCAACACATGGATGGTGAAACATATCCAGTGCATAACTCCGTATACAGAGATTTATGCTACACAGATGTGATGTATTGATTAAAACATTTATAACCTGTCCCCTCTCTAAAGATTTCAAAGTGGCATAGGATAGCAGTCGTTGTCACTGGAAAATCTATTTTACTTGCAAATATGCTCAGAGGGAACAACAGAACTTGGAGGCATGGTAGATGATAGCTGGGATCCTGTGAGTCGCTTATACATGCTACTCGGAGTTACAAGTGTACGAAACTCCAAGTTGGACACTAATATTTTGGATGGGGCACAAGGGACATTCTCTAGCCCTTTGTGAGCCACCTAAAACCCCCTGCTATAGCTGTCCACCCTCGGAAGTATTTTGCTGCTGCTACTTACATCATTGGGAAAAAGGAGCAGCTAGTCTGGGTTGTAAAGCGAAGGGAAACATAAGACATCCAGGAAAATAACCTCACTTCCTTTCCCTGTACAGCCAAGACCAACTGCCTCTTCCATGGAGCACCGATAAATGATGATAGCAGCAGGCTGTTAGGGCTTGACAGGAAAAGCATAGAATAGTTACGGCTAGTTACAGCTTTTTGCAGGCAAGAGTGGAGATGCGTATGTGTGATACAAACATAGTTCATGCAGTGTTGCAGGAAATTCTGGATGTGTCCTGGTTGCTGCTCCTGCCTTTGCCTTCTCCCACTTCTGTTGCTTGCCTGTTCCTGCAGTGCCTTCCATATCATTGGAATGGTGAATATACTCTAGATAGTAGTCTGAATTCTAAATAAACTATCCAAGGTACTGGTTCAGACTAAAGCCTGGAGTGAATTCAGCACTGCACTAACATGGGACTCACCAGCCATCACCGAAAGCTTAGCTGACAACATTAAACTTTGGGCTAGTTCACTTTACACATGTCTCTAGCAAACTCACCAGCCATCACCAAAAGCTTAGTTGACAACATTAAACTTTGGGCTAGTTCACGTTACACATGTCTCTAGCAAACTTTGCTCTGGTGCAACCAATGGGAACAACACTATCCTTTCCACTGTTTCCAATATTCATGCTGTCAGTCCTGCTGCTTAAGTAGCCAAAACAGCTCAACTTGTGCAGAAGAGGTAGGTTTTGGGGACCAGGTTTTTCAGAAGTATATAAAAAAGGAAGGAAATTCAAGGGTGTATTCAATGAGAGCTGTTCCTTGAAAGTCCCAGTTGAATGAGGCCTGCCAAGTGCCCATTGAATGTCTACTGACTTTTGGTCCGGAAAACCACATTTGGAGATGGAGCGGTTGGATTCCTGAACATCATCACTCCTCAGGATTCCACTTATCAGCAGCAAACACACAATGTGAACAGCATATTGACTGTGAGGTTAAATGATGGCGGTTAGTTCTCTGGGTTTTCCATTCACCCCCCCCCCCCCAATCTTCATTCTTAGTGGCTCACTGCAATGCAGACCAAAACATACTATGGTTTTGTAATAACATCAACATGAATATAACCAGGAAGGGTTGTGGCTCAGGGCCAGRGCATGGGTCCAGTCCCRTGCATCTTGAATGCTCTCAGTTCATAAGAATGGTTGTAACACCCACTGACACCGCTGAGACAGTGGCACCATTAATGTTATTCAGTCTAAGGCAGCTTGTGCATACTATGGGACCAATGCATCATCACTGCTACAGTTGTTTGCCAGAGTGAGGCTTTGAAACATCTCCCATAGGCAGCAATGCTGCACCAATTTGGTTTTCTTGGGTAGAGGGAAGGACATTCTCCTTAGGTTTGATCACAGTAAATTGGGATCGTGAATCGATGATGAATCTGACATCCAGAATAAGGCTGCTGTACAAATGTCTTTTGAAATCCAGAAACAATCCCAACAGAGTTTCCATCCATGGAGATCAGTTGAAGGCAGAAAGGGAGTGGGTGGGTCACTAGAAAACTGGGAGAACTGGGATCTAAATAATTTCACTTAGGATAGCTAAGGAAAAATACTAGAGGATCTGTGAGTTCAACTAGCAATTTGTGCATTACAAGTGAGATAGTTTGGAATTTGGGATTGGGGAACATGGAGCAGAGTAGGATAAGACCATTTATAATCACCAAGTCTTCAAATGCCCGAAGCGTTAAGGAATTACTTCTGCAATGTGAAAATAAAGAATCCAGTGGAAATGTTCAAAATGCTCTCATTTGATTCTCAATGAGGAGCCTCAATGGAGAAAAGGGTGAAGAGGAGGGTAGTAATATTCCCATTCCATTCATTGATAACAAAACCTGTGAGTCCGCTAATGAGCCAGCATGTTAATGAGGAGCTGGCCAGCAAAATGATATATTTCCTTGAATGGCCACTTGTCAAAGTACAGTCTTCCTGTGTGTGTGTCCTTTAGAGCGGAATGTGTTCGACATTACTTTGCAGCTGCTTCTCTTTCTGCGCAGCTGAAATATCTGGTGTTTGAATTCTGGATGGCTGACTTCAGGCCAAGTCTAGCCTCTAGATCGTTTTTACTTACGCAGGCCTGCAAAAAAGAAAGGCAAAGACATCAGATATAATGACAAAGAATCTATCTATTTATCTACCTATCTCTATCACACACACACTATGACTCAACAGGATTTTATATACTACAAACTATGTCTAGTGAAAAACTGCAAAGAAAACAAAATGTAAAACACAGTTAACTTGAACTAATATTACAATTACACTTAAAACAATACATTACAAAACTGTATTAAAAATGTATTAAAACACAATACAAAAATAATAAAGAAAAAAGAAGAAAGCAAATGGCTATAGTCACTATGTATCCTACTTCCTCTAGAAATATAAAATGAACTTTTATATATTGTTTCATCCTATTATTCTTCAAATCCTAATTCTGATATTTCCCAGGATTCCCTAAATGGCCCAATTAATAGGTTAAACCACTGAGCTGATGAGCTTGTTGAACGAAAGGTCACAGGTTTGAATCCAGGGAGTGGCGTAAACTTCTGCTGTCAGCCCCAGCTTCTGCCAACCTAGCAGTTTGAAAACATACAAATGTGAGTAGATCAATAGGTACTGCTCTGGTGGGAGGTAATGGTGATCCATGCAGCCATGCCAGCCACATGATCTTGGAGGTGTCTATGGACAACACCGGCTCTTCAGCTTAGAAATGGAGATTAGCACCAACCTCCAGAGTCGGACAAAACTGGACTTAATGTTAGGGGAAAAACTTTACTTTTAATATACTCAAAGACAACAATCTGTTTGGATTTCTTTTTTTAATGCGAAGCTAGGAAAAAGTAATTTTGGACTACAACTCCCATAATCCTCCTGCTACTATGACCATGGGTTTGGGAGTTACTTTTTCAAGCTCTGCTTTTACCTAATGCCTTTTTCCATTGAGAATTTCTTAACTGTGCTGAGAAAGATACTTGAGCTTTGTAAACTGTATAATTTATGGCATATGGGGAGGTAACACAGTATCTGATTTTTAATATCTTGTGGAAGATGGAACAAAGTTGTTTCCTCCTGCTACAGAGGGTAGGACCTCTAGAGCACTGGATTCAAGTTTCAAGAAAGAGAATTTGATTAAATATTAGGAAGATAATTCCTGATCATGATTGCTATTTGGCAATGAAATGGGCTGCCTTAGGTGGTGATGGGCTCTCCTTCATTGGATATTTTTAAACGGAGGTTTGATGGCCACCTATCCAAAATATAGTTTTGGATTCCTGCATCTACTGAGGTCTAGACTTCATGGTCCTTGTGGTCTCTTCCAAATGTACAGTTCTACAATTTCATGTTCAAACACCAGCAAGAAGAAAAATAAGGACATTCTTTAACAATAAACCCAATGCCGGCCTGAACCATACCCCATAGCGTCCACTCGTAGTATCTCCCAACAACTCCAAATCAGTCCCTACTATCTATCATCTGAGGAGGATGTACCAGCCCTAAATAAATCCCCCAGATTCAGTATCTTTTATTAAACACAAACTTTATTCAAATCTGCACACTTGCTTTTGCATATTTCATTTTTTTCTGCAGTTATCACTTGGGCAGATGTTGGAATAAAAGTGTTATTTAGGGCACTGAAATTCTGCCACCCAAGTGTGTCCAAATATCCACCAAGCACTATCTCCTGGCATTATCTTCATAGCCCTAAGGACTAGAAATGTGATGATTGTCAACAGAAAATACAAGTCTAGATTGCCAAAGTGATGAATCCTGCAGAGTTGCTCCGGATATTACAGAACGCTCAAATACTGCCTTTTCCCATCTTCTGCGTTTCAAGGTCCTAATGGTGATGATGCTAACAAAGTGTCTGTTATCATGATCAGGGCTTTGAAGTCATAATTTGCAAATAAAACCTTGCGTGCAATTACAGCTGGTCTTTAGTTCTGCTGGAGTTAGGGGTGCAACTGCTTCTTTCTTAACCTGCAAAGCAGAGCTCAGTTCCATCCTACTGCTTCTCAGGCTGCAAATTTTATTTCCATAAGCAGAATTGCCTTTTATTCAGATCACCAACACATAATAACAAAAGAAGCCTGAAGGCAGGATTGAGAACCTATGTGAAATACATCTGTTGGAAGGCCCTAATCTGGAATCCTTTGACTCTAGCATTCAAATGATCAGAAAGCAAATTCTGAGTAAACGTTGGGAAGAACTTGATGATAAGAGCTGCTCAGTGGAATGGACTCCCTTGAGTGGTGGTGGATGGTCTTCTGCTGATAGCGGATCTGGCCAGGGTGGTCCATGCCTTAGTCACCTCCAGATTGGACTACTGTAATGCACTCTACATGGGACTGCCCTTGAAAACGGCCCAGAAATTTCAATTGGTTCAATGGGCAGCTGCCAGGTTAACTGGTGCGCCTTACAGGGAGCTCCATTGGCTGCCGTTCATTTTCCGGTCCCAATTCAAGGTGTAGGTTCTTACCTACAAAGCCCTAAACGGTTTGGGACCTGCCTACCTTCGTGACCGCATTTCTGTATACGAACCCACACGATCTCTTCGATCATCTGGAGAGGCCCTGCTCGTGCTCCCACCTCCATCGCAGGCACGATTGGTAGGGACGAGGGAGAGGGCCTTCTTGGTGGTGGCCCCTCAACTCTGGAACTCACTCCCCAAGGACATCAGGCATGTCCCAACTCTGGCAGTCTTTAGGAGGAGCCTGAAAACATGGTTGTTCCAGTGTGCCTTCCCAGAATAAGGAAACTCCCAGCAATATGTCCCTAAATGCACTTTATCAATGATCTAGGATTGTCTGCACGCCCTTTCCCCTCCGAAATTCTATCCTAGTTATATATTTCACCTGGTCATGCTCAGCATTATTTTTTAAATTTTTAATTATTACATTTGGCCCAGCCATAGGTTTTTAGGCATTGTGTGCTATTGTTAATGTTTACTGCTTGTTTTTTTGTTTATGAGTTTCATTTTATTGTTTTGTATTGCTGTTGTTGTTGTTTTTGCTGATGTATTGTGGGCTCCGCCTCATATAAGCCACACCGAGTCCCTTGGGGAGATGGTAGCGGGGTACAAATAAAGTTTTATTATTAAAGCATTTCAATAGAGGTTGATGTCTTGGGATGTGTTTTCAACTGCAAATTCTTGCACTAGCTGGGGGAAGACTAGATGATCTCTGGGATCCTTTCAAAAACTCTATTATTCTCTGGTACTTGGGACGTGAGTTCTGTAAATAAGGTGTATTTCTTACATTGGTGTTCCATCTTTAGTACTTAGGAACTCAGTCCTACGCACACTTTCCAATTCATGTCACTACTCACTGCAGACCTGAACAGGATTTCCATTGTCAAAAAAAAATTTGCTGCATTTCTTCTTTTCTCTCTCTCATGTGCATATCTCCTCATTTCAGTTTTAAGCTTCCTTCCTCCGGTTAGTAAATCAAAGACATTGGGTAGGATTCTCCGGAGGTGTTGCTTATATCCTCCTGAAGAAATCTATGGCTCAGAAAATCAATACTTAATCTCCTGCCCATCCATCTGAATGAGGTGGCAATTCGGCAGCAATTCACTTCTGGGCCTAAACAGCAGCTCTCACTTTCTCTTGCTTACAAAGCAAGACTCCATGCTGCTTCGGCAAAGCGTTAGCCCCATCTAGAAACTGAGATTTGGGAGAAATAAATGCTAGGCCATTGCAAATCATATGTAAGAGGAAGGAGAAGTGTATTGTGGTCTTTGAAATCTCTCTAAATGTAAAGGAGGCATTGTTTCAGCATGGAGCAGCTCTCTTGAACCTCACATGGTTTTGGGACACAATAATGTTTCTAGGTGCACTGTATATAGTTGATGGTTTATTAATCACTCCTGGTCAACAAAAACAAGCCCTACAAATAGTAAACTTTCCAATCTGGGAGGAGGCCAAACAAGGACATTTCTTGATGTTCGGTTTCATTGAGTAGAGTGGCAAATCAACCTTACTCTTGGTTCATGCTTTAAGAGAGCTCTCCAATGTGCTGAATTTTAATTCTCAAATAGAGTCAACATTGGGATACTTCTTTTAAAATTCAGAGTAAAACCTGAAGTAGGTTCTTCATTGTTGTAAAAGCAAAACTTGTGACCAGTTCATTTCCAGGAACAATCCAAATCTTTGGCTCAGGTTTAGATTATCTAAAGAAGCATGTTCTTTCTTATATATTTGCCCAATGTTTTGAGATCCTCTACAAAGGTACATCAGGTGGGAAGAAAGGAAAAGCCTTCTTGGTGGCTGCACCCGGAAGAAGCAGAAAAGAACTAGGGAATTTTAAAGACAACCAAAACAGTGGGATGACAGGAGATTATTCAGAACCGTCTTTGCCAAATTTGAACAACTGAGGAGTCATCTTAAGGTTTTTTTTTACTGCAAGTCATTTCTGGTGTGCCAGAAAGCTGACTGGCACAACCTGGGGATCACAACCAGACACAGTGAAGACATCTGCCCTTGCACTATGCTACTCTGCTGCTGAGTACGCATGCCCAGTGTGGAACACATCTCACCACATTAAAACAGTGGATGTGGCTCTTAATGAGACATGCTGCATTATCACGGGGTGTCTGCACCCTACACCACTGGAGAAATTACACTGCTTAGCCGGTATTGCACCACCTGACATCCGCCGGGAAGTAGCAGCCAATAGTGAAAGGACCAAGGCAGAGACATCTCCAGCTCATCCCTTGTTTGGGTATCAGCCAGCACGTCAACGACTTAAATCAAGAAATAGTTTTCTTAGATCTACAGAGACACTCGCTGGAACACCTCAGCAAGCGAGAGTTCAAAAGTGGCAGGCTCAAACCCAGCACCTCAATCCGTGGGTGACACCAGATGAGAGACTCCCCCCTGGGCACACAGAAGACTGGGCGACTTGGAAGGCGCTGAACAGACTGCACTCTGGCACCACGAGATGCAGAGCCAATCTTAAGAAATGGGGCTACAAAGTGGAATCCGCAACATGCGAGTGCAGAGAAGAGCAAACCACTGACCACCTGCTGCAATGCAACCTGAGCCCTGCCACATGCACAATGGAGGACCTTCTTGCA